TCCGGAGGAGGCGAGGCGGGTATGTCCATCTGAATAGGCGCCGATGCCCCTGCGCCGGGGCTGGTGCGTGCGGGCTCCACGCCGAGGACCCGGACGCGGGGCCGTCCCGGGCGCGCCGAGGGGCGGGAGGGTGTCTTTTCCTGCTCTCGGACGCCTCTGTATTCTCTTTTTGGTTCCGTTTCGCCCCGATCTTGCCCCCATTTTGCTCCGGGTTTCCTCCCGAGTGGCCCTCGAAGGGCACCTGAATCCGTGTCAATATCGCCGCGTCAGTTTAGCGGCGCGCGGGGCCGGTGGGCTTGATGCTCCCGCGCTCCGCGTTTTATTTTCCTCGAACACTCCCCTCCAATCTCCTTTTTATTTTCTTTCTCTCTTTTCTCCTTTTTGCATTTCGTGTCGAGAGGAGGAGAAGGGAGCGGGGAAGGGGGGGGGGTGGGTAGAGGGAGAAAAAATTCGATTTTTAATTACTACCATTAAAAAATCAAATTTGCAATTCTTTGGGCGGCCTGATGGATCTCACTGATTGACAGTTGGAATTGACACTCTGGCTACCTCTTATCTTGGGCATTCACGACAATTTCTAATTGCAGGTAGTTTGTGTATGTGCGCGTGGTTTTTTTCCCCCTCGGAGGCTTGGATTGCAAGGGAACTAAGCGATTACTTCAAGAGCCACGGGTTAAGTGCAGGGAGAGGGGGAGCGAGAGGGAAAAAATCCAATCCAAATTCAAATTGCTTCATTAGAGAGACACCGCTTTTGTGGGGAAGGGTTTTAAATGCCCACTACAAAGTTAGGACTCATTGTTCCGCGCTGGTTTATATAACAGGCGCGGGGAGGCGCCGGGTTTAGGCGGAGCGGAGCCAGCTCGGCAGCCGCCACCGCCTGCGTTCCCTCTCCCCCTCCCCCAGGTGATGGCCCAGCCAGGGTCCGGCTGCAAAGCGACCGCCCGCTGCCTGGAAGGCACCGCTCCGCCCGCCATGGTGAGTGAGCTCGGCCCTGCCTTCGGTCCGCGGTCCGGCCCTCGAGACCTGGCCCGGCTTTCCGGCCGCAAACCGCTGCTCTGGCGCCCGGGGGAATCCCTGAGGGCGCCGCCCCCTCTCTGAGCCTCAGTTCCCCGACCGAGAATATGGGCTCTGACCGCTCCCGACCCCCAGGACGCGCGTGTGAATAGCCGAACCCGTCCCTTCCTCTCCAATAGGCTCCTCCATCCCAGTTCTCTAGCCCGGGGCCCGGGGTTTGGAGGGGAATTTCGTTGTCGACTGGTGCACTGGGGGCCCAGGTGTGTCCTGGAAGCAACTGCAGCGCTGGGCCCCGGGCTCAGCGATCGGCTCTCCCTCTCCCCCCACCGCAGGCTCAGTCGGACGCCGACGCCCTGGCAGGCGCTCTGGACAAGGACGAGGGTCGGGCCTCCCCCTGTACACCCAGCACGCCGTCGGTCTGCTCACCGCCCTCTGCCGCCTCTTCCGTGCCGTCCGCCGGCAAGAACATCTGCTCCAGCTGCGGCCTGGAGATCCTGGACCGGTATCTGCTCAAGGTGAAACCAGGGCGGGGTGTTGCGGGTGTGCGGCGGGGTGTGGGGTGCAGTCCAGAAGCTGCGCGTAATCACGAGTACTGGCCCAGCCCTGCCGGACCCTGGGGCTTTGAGCTGGTCTTCGTGTCTCTCTGCGCCCCCGGGGTCCCGTCTGAAACACGGGAAGAGTCTGTTTCTACCTCCCTGAGCCTCCGTGTTACAGAAGGAAAGTGGGGGAGGTTACGGGCACCGCCAGAGCCCCAGCGTCTCTGTCTGCAGGGTGGCTGGGGTCTGGCGTGCAAAGAGGCCCGCGCTGAGCCGCCCCCGCTCTACCCCCTCCCCAGGTCAACAACCTCATCTGGCACGTGCGGTGCCTCGAGTGCTCCGTGTGCCGCACGTCGCTGCGACAGCAGAACAGCTGCTACATCAAGAACAAGGAGATCTTCTGCAAGATGGACTACTTCAGGTAGGCTGCGGCCGCCGGGCCGGCAGTGTGGCCGCAGGCAGGCCCGGCGCACAGGGAAGCCTTCTTTGCGGCGCGTGGTGTCTGGCTCCGGAGCCCCTGAGCCCGGAGTGCACTCCCGGGGCGCCGCGCAAACCCCGCCGGCTCTCAGCGCCACGAACGGGGAGCTCCAGGCTTCGCGCCGGTGCCAGCACCGGTCTGGCCCGAGATCCGCCTCCTGCTCCTGCGGCCCACTCGGTTTCCGTCGCGTGTCTGGCTCTGTCTCCGGTCCTGCCTGAATCTCAGGCTCCAGTTCCCATCACCAGCGCCTCGGTTGAGTTCTGATGTCCCGGCTCTGGCCCCAACCCGCTCGGATCCTAGCCTTGATCTGGCTGCCTCTCCAGTGCGCTCTGGCCTGGGTTCCAACCCTACTCCGACTCCAGCCACGCCGGCGTCGCTCCCAGAGCGGGACCCTGAGCTGGGCTCCAGACTTGCCCGTCTCTGACCCCGGCTCCGCGCTGGGTTCCGGTCTCAGACCGAACCCATATTCAAGCACCTCTTCCTAAGACCCAACCTCGGTCTCCAGTTCCGCGGCAACTTAGACCCTGGTGTCGCTCTAATGTCTGGGGTCCTGATTGGGTCCCAGGCGGCTGTTGGAGTCCCAGCTTCGTCATCGTTTCAGCCTGTCCCCGGTCTAGGCCGACTTTGGGCTGCCAGGACAGGAAGGGGGAGTGTAGGGCGCTGTAGCCCGGCAGCATTACCCCGGGGTGCGCTCTCCTGGAGGCAGGCAGAGTCCGCGGACTGGCGACTCCAGCGGAGCTCGTCCTTCCGTCGCGGCTGCTGGTGCGCGCCTCGCTCCAAACCTAGAAGCTCCCGCCTGACCCGGCCATGGGGTCAAGTTCACTGCGAGGTCAGGGCTCAGCGGCCACCCGCAGGATCTCCTTGGGAAGCGTGAACCAGGCCTGATGCCGGACCACCGGGCCTATAGAGTCCTGAGAGGGTGGAGTGTGATTAGTTTCAGGGAGGGGATGTCTGTTCCCAGGGGCTTTCTCAGGAAGGAGAGAAAACTACCCTCCTATAAACCCCACCACCACCTCCAGTGACCTCCCTTCGGTCCTCTCTTCGGGAGAGGCCATGATTTCAGTCTTCTTGGGAGTCAGGGAATGTGGTGGAAGTCAATGCAACCCCCCTCACCCCCAGTTTGAGTCTTCTGGGACTTGGAAAGAGAGGACCTTGAATCTAGGGGGAAGTTTGCAGCATTTTGGACTGGGATACTCTGGAAAAACCATCGGAAGCATGGCTCAAGAACTGGACTCTTTTTTTGAGTATGGGTGTGAAAGGTGTACAGCCAGGGTGTGCAGGTGTGTGGGGTCTACAAGGTGGCCTAGGGGTCAGCTTGCAAAACTGTGTGTGTGTGTGTGTGTGTGTGTGTGTGTGTGTGTGTGTGTGTCTTGTTTGGATCTGTGTCGTGGCACTGAGGGGATGTGTCATTAAGCAAGGTCAGGGATGTGTGGACAGCATATGTGTTCCTTTATGACATGCATTTGTCTTTTGGTTCATGTGTAAGAGTGTGTGTCTATGTGTGAATGCCAGTGCACAAGAAGGTCAGGTCAAGGTTACAAATGGACAGGGATCTGGAGGTGAGAGGGTGAGGCTTCAGAAATCCTGTGATTCCTCTCCCTACCCCCTCCTCCTCTGAGGGGGGCATTTCTGCTTAAGACCTTCACCCAGGCACTGAGGACTCAAGGGATATGAATGTGGATTTGTGGGTGTGGACTGCTATGTATGTGTATGGCAGAGCAGGGTTATTGTGTGGTATGCAACCAGAGTGTGATGTTTCCCTGCACTATCCCATCTGCTATTGGCTGGCCAAGGCAGGAAATGGATGTTAGAGTCCTTGTCTAGATACCTCCTTGTTCTAGGCCTGACTCCAGTTCAGCTGCCATTTGGAGGGGGAGGGGGCTCCTTGGGCTCATCAGCTAGCCAGGGACAGAGCTCCAGCTTGGAAAATCCAACAGGATGATATTTCAGCCTCCTCCTGTAGAGCAAGGCAGGACTGGACCCTAACCCTGGCTCACCTGGTGATAACAGACCTGGAAGCCCTATGAGCCACCTGCCCACATTTCCTTGCTGCTTCTCTAGCCCCAGCTCATGCCCAGGCTGGACCAAGCCTCCTCAAATGCTATGCTTACTAGACCTTCTAGGGCTGGTCAAAACTCAGATCCTGACCCCACCACTCAGAGCCTCCACTGGCTCTGGAATCCCCCTTCCTACTTTGGTGACTTAGAGTATGGAATGTGCAGCTATTTTGGGGAGAACCAGAGACTGAGCTCCATCAGGACAACATTGAATCACTGTGTGACCTTGGAGAAATCACTGCATCTCTCTGCCCTCAGTGTCCTACTTCCAGGGCTGTCTCTCAAAGCTGCCAAAGAGGGAGTAAAAGGAGGAAGGCTCAGTAGAGGCTCCATAGATGGCAAGTGCTGTAGGTGTCTTGATTATTACCATTGCCACTCTGGCTGGCTGGATGCTGGGCACAATCCCCTAATGTCGTTTCCTCAGGCAGTTTGAGGAGCAAGGCCTGCCTGGAGGGATGGGGCTGGGCCATTTCTGGGCTGAAGGTTCTGCGCGATAATCCTTTTCCAGTGACAAGAGTCCCCAAAGCAAAACTAAAACAGATTTTGGTTAAGAAAATGGAGTGAATAAAAGCTCACATTCCCTGGGAGGAGGGGAAAATTGTGGCTCTTCTGATCATTTCTCCCCCAGCCAGGTCTCCCTGCAGGCATAACCCTTCCCTGGCAGCCCCACCTGTAAGAAAAATAATGAAACCCACAAAAAGGGAAAGGAAAAGCCGGCAGAGTGCCAGGAGGGGACTATTGCCTGCTCTGAGCAGCAGCCCAGACGCTGGGTGGCTGCTGTAAGGGAGGTCTTTCTGGAGAGAGCATGAATGATGGCATGGGAGGCAGAGGGCTCCTCTTAAGAGCTGGGGCTCAGGAAGAGACCATGCTCTGTGATTCTCTAGCTCTCTGTTTCCTGAAGCCCAAGGTGGACTGGAGCACTCTGCCCAAGAGAGGTCAATATCCTCATCAGAATGGAGGGGGAGAGAGCACTGGGGTCTTACCCCCGACTGAAGGATCTTCTAGGTTCCATCCCCCATCTCGCCCCTCCTTGTAGACCATCCTTCAGTCTCCTTAAGCAGAACCGGAAGTTAGAAGCTAGAAGGGCACTCCAAAGTCACCAAGAGAAGCTGCAGAGGGAGGTGGGGAGCAGTGGAGGGAGGTTGGAGGTCTAGTGCTGTCCCTGGCTCATTTGCATTGTTGGGAGGGGTTGGTTTTCCACTGGCTCTTTGCCCTCGATAACAGGTTGCTGGACCTCTCTGCCCCAGCTTCTCCAACTCCCTCTTTAATAGGGACCTCAACAGCCCTTGGGGGTTCTAGCAGATTCCCAGCTCCCCACCCTCCCTAAGTCCTAGCAGAAAAAAGTTACCACCAGGGAAATATGATATTGCTTTTAATTTCTTCAAATTTTTGTTGTTGTTGTTAAGACCATTTGTTTCCTTCCATTTTTCTTTGAAGAAGTAAAGGAAAAAAACAGTGTTCCTCTCTGGGGCATTCATATCAACCACAAGCCCAGGCAGCTTCCTCCCATCGACCTACCTGTAGCTGCTGCCCCCCACATGGGTCATGGGCTGATCTACAGTGCTCTCCTGGCTCCCTCAGCCTCCTGAAGCATCGTGCCCATTGCATAGTTGGAGAGACAGATACCCTGAGAGAGTGGCAGGTGAAGAACCCAGGGTCACACAGTGAGACAGAGAGTGGAAAGGGGGCTGGGCATGGGTGGGGACACTGGTCATCGGTGGAAGGTATGGAGCTCATCACGAAGCCAGGAACTGTGCTAACTCTTTACATGCGTTATCCCATTGGATCCTCAGGTCCACCCTGTGATTATGATACTTTCGTATTCCTCACTTTATAGGAGGGGAAACTGAGGCCCTTCAAGGTGAAGTCACAGTTAGTAAGTGGCAGACCCTTGAGAAGACCCAGGGCTGCCTGACTCCACCATCCCTGTGTCTAAACATTCAATACACTTCGCTTCCTCTATTGGTCAGATATGTCAGCAGCCCCTCTCTACGAGGAGGTGGGGCCTGTGGAATAGCAAAGACCCTTCTCTGCTGACCCTAAGAGTCCTTGTCCAGTTCATTTGCCTTCACACAGGGAGCGCCTGCTGGGTGCTGTGATGTGAGACTCCCTGGGGGGGCTCTGGGAGCACTGGGGCAGGAGTGGCCTCCTTCAGAGGCCCCGAATGGATCAACTTTGCCAGGATCCGGTCCCCATGGTCCCTGGCCCTCTGGCCTCCTGACCATGGGAGTGGGGAGTAAAGAGTTAAGTGTGCTCCCGGAGTCTGTGGGCAAACTTCAGAGAGTGCCCTGGGCTGGGCCACTGAGGCTTCCCCCTGGAGTTCCTGTCCCCTGGCCCAGTTGACTTAGGGCAAGACCCCAGCCTTCACCTGCCTTCTGCCTAGAACCCAAGCTCCGACTGGAGAACCCTGCCCCCTCCTTCAGGGCGAGGGTGCCCGGGAGGCTCAGAGCTGGGAAGCGACCCCCCACCCTCGCAGAGAGCAGCCCAGCTGTTGGGGGACAGATGTTGAGGGAGCAGAGAAGTTAGGTGGGGGAGGTGCCTCAGGCCGGGGACCTCCGGGGTGCGGAGTGTTTTAACCTCTTAATTGCTGGTTCTGTTTTTCTCTGGCTTCTTCGAAGAGTTTGCCTAGAAGAAAAGGAGCAGAGGGGATAGGCAGGGCTCCTCCTACAATCTCCCTTGTTTGCCTTGTAGAAACTAAGGCCATCGAGGAAGCATCCTTAACGTAAAATAAGTGAACTCTGGTTTGAGTTTCGGCACCCTGGCGCACCAGCTTCGGAATTAACATTGGCCTTCCCACTCTGAGCGTCGGTTTCCTCCTGCAAAAAACGGGTGGCTTCATGATGGGGACCGGGTCCGAGTGAAACTCCGATGGGCTCTTTCGTTGAGGCTCATTCCTCCAGCTAATAATTTCTGAGCGCCTGCTGAGCATCCAGCGGAAGTGGGCCGGAGAGTGAGCTTCACTTGGTCCAGGGAGCACAGCTCCCTCCGCACAACCGCGGCTACCAGCTGTCGGAGGAGAGAGGGCCAGGAGGTGCGTGATGCCCACTCTAACTCTTCTCAGCAGTTCAGATACGCAGCATCTTTCCTGCAACTCTCCACCCCCAGGGCGCCTCTGTCCTTTGCGCCTTTGCCCGGAGGCGCACGGAGGAACACAGAGAGGGGTGCGCTGGGGGCTGGGGCGGAGGGGCTGGGGGCGGTAGCCGCGCCCCCTAATCCCGTTGGCGCTCCGTTCGCAGCTCCCAAACATCCTTTTCTTGAAGTTTCGTTTTCTCCGCCGCCAATTTCGCTGCTTCCGGAACCGGTGGCTCAGGCCTCAGAGCCCGCTTGGGAAGGAGTCTGTCAATTTGTCAGAGCCTCGATCCGTAGGTCCTCGTTCCCCTTCTTTGTGCCGCTGATCCCTGCCCCGATGGAGGACGCGCTTCCGGAGCGGCCTGCAACGCACCCCAAACTGCGTAATGATCCCATCCTCACCTCCATCCAAGGATCCAACTCGAGGATGATTTCGTTGACTGGGTCGAGCCACAGAGAGCGCGGGCAGATCCCAGGGCTGGGGACAGCTCCTGGCATTTGGGGTGACACGTGTGGGGGGTGTTGAGGAAATTGCTAAGGGGTCACCCGCGGCACCGACCTGGAATCAAGGGGATGGGTACACTGTGAGCAGCACTGTATGCGCAGAACCGCGCGGGCGTTTCGGATTCGTGGAGCGGGAGGATCAGGGGTGTGCGGCGTGTCTGGGATGCGCGCCCCTGGCAGAGGACGAGGAATCCCGCACAGCCAAGCGCGAGGACCCGGGATGCTACACCGGCGTGGAGCACCGGCGGTGGTGCAGGAGACCACAGAGGGAAGGCGAAGTCGCCTGGCTCTTCCCGTTCACTGGGAACGCACTCTCTGCCTTCCCGAACCCCCCTGGGCCCCAAGCCCAGGATCCAGGGCCTGGAGTGGGGACACGGCGGAGTCAGACCAAGCCCCTTTCCTGTTCATCACCCAGGATCCAGATCTTCTCATCTCCAGTCTGGCTGCTTCTGCAGATTCCAGGTACTTTTTGCACCTTGAAGAGGACCTCAACCCCGGCCCTACTCGCTGTGGTCTTGAGCTAGTCACTCGCCCGCTCTGAACCTCCGATTCCACCAGTGCAAAGTGGGTGCCAGAGCTCCCACCTCACTTGGTTACGGTGAAGCCGGTGAAGCCAAGGTGTGCATTGAAGGCTTTGCACCCCAGGACCCGGGACTGCAGCAAGCCCTCTACCAGACTGTCATCGGATCTGGGCCAGCCTGTGGCAGGAATAGGCTGGGGTGGGCAAAGCGGGTTCTTCTCCCCTCTGCGGAGGGATGGTGAACAGAGACCGCAGGATGTGCTGGGCTGTCCCCTGGGGAAGCCGAATTTCCGAGCCAGGGAATTGCCTCTGTTTGGGGGGCGTTTGACCAGGCAAAGTCCTGTAGTGGGGTCTGAGCTAACTGTTTCTGGTTTCTGGTCCGAGACAGTAGCTTTGGGCTTCCTGGGGTGGGGATGTTGTAACCAGAGCCCATTTGCTGGGCGGGTTCTCTCGCACAGTCACAGCGTTTCTGAAGGCTCCTCCGGATGGAAGTGTGCCGGCCCTGGGGACACAGAGGCACATCTTCTTGGTTCTCTCCCAGGAAGGCCTGGGGTGGGAGATCCAAAGAACCAGACATCTACAAACCGGTGTGACCAATTCGGAGAGGGTGGTGCTGGGGGAGCTGTGGCACTTTTCCTGGAGGGTGAGGGAGTGTGGGAAAAGGGATCAGCCGGCGCATAGGCCGGGGTGGGAAAATACTTGAGAGGGCCATGAAGACCTGGGAATGACCTTCCATTGCGGCTGCGGCTCATACTTGGGTTTGGGTGGGAGATCTTGAGGAAGGTTAGGGAGGAGGAGATGAGCCTGACAGGATGTGGTTTGTTGGGCTTTGTAAACTCCAAGGGTCTTGGACCAGATCCCAAGGGTAGATTGGAGCCACCAAAAGGTTTTAAGCAGGGCAGGCCAGGATTCGGTATGCATGCTGGAAACTTCACTGCGGCCACTCTGTGGAGGATGGATTGGCAGGAGTGGGCCTGGGGAAAGGGAGATGAGAGCTAAGATTGGCAGAGAGGGGTGCATGGCGGTAGCCTGACTTAGGAGGCCACCGTGACAATGGAGAGGAGGAGATGGGTCGCAGAGATACTTAGGAAAGGAACCAACAGTGTCTCATGGTTGGTTGGAGGTGGGGTTAAGGAGAGGGAGGAGTGTATGAGTTAGGTTACTAAGCCTGCACAGCTGGATGAGTGGTGGCTCCAGCCCCTGAAATGGACTGTGCACCAGAGAAAACTGAGGCTCAGAGAGTTCAGAAGGCTCACATCCACTTAAGGAGCAAGCATTCCCTGGTTCTCAGGGACCAGGCCTTGGGGTGACTCTGGCACAGGGCGAAACAGACTCTGCTGCTTTCTGAGGGCTCCCAGTTTGGGGTGGAGGCAGCTGTACCCAAAATGCACTATAAAGGGGGAGGGAGAAAGGAAAGAGACAGACTCAAGAAAGCCTTAGGGCGGGAAGAAGGCATTTGATCTTGGCTTTCTGTGTTTGTGACTAGCTGGTTACTTAATAGACTGCCGCGCACTGAACAGATAGTAGCAGGCATTGCTGTTGTCATCTAGTTCAGCTCAGGGCAAGGGAAATGGGAACTCAGAGGGGTTAAACAATTCTCTCAGCGTCATCAAGCCAGTCATGCACATCTATGCTTCTGAGAAACTGAGCTTCTCTACTGCTGGGGTACAGTTTACTCATCTCGGGCTCCTATCCTTGCGTGCTGTGTGACCTGTGCAAGTGACTTAACTCCCCGGTCCCCATTTTCCCCATCTGAAAAATGAAGATTAATGGGGATACTCAATATAAAATACTTAGAATCTTGCTGGGCACGTGGTAAGTGCTCAAAGATTTGCCTACTCATTATTACTATTATTCTATTTTCCCTAACACGTGATATATTTGTATTGAGTAGATTGATGTTATATGCAAATGTAAGTGATCACTGTAGAAAATTTGGAAAATTCAGAAAAACACCAAGAAGGAAATAAAAACATCCACCAGCTCACTTTCTAGGTAGATCTTGTCTACGGGAGGGGGAGAGTGGTGGATGCAGGCGTAGGGATATTTGTTAGCCGGTGACAGCTCCGAGGCCAGAAGCCCGGGTACAGGCTGGCTACTGGGTTTGGAGGGAGGAAGGGTGGCCTGTCTGAGCCTCGCCCTCCCCTCCCCTGCCCCGGTGTCCCACAGCCGATTTGGGACCAAGTGCGCACGCTGTGGCCGGCAGATCTACGCCAGCGACTGGGTGCGGCGGGCCCGCGGCAACGCCTACCATCTGGCCTGCTTCGCCTGCTTCTCGTGCAAGCGCCAGCTGTCCACGGGCGAGGAATTTGGTCTGGTTGAGGAGAAGGTGCTGTGCCGAATCCACTACGACACCATGATCGAGAATCTCAAGAGGGCCGCAGAGAACGGTACCCAACCCGCCCCTCCCAGCACCTGGCCACACCTCTGCCCTCAGCCCTACCCCACCCCAGCACCCCAGGTACTGCCCACACTCCTCTAGGGACAGGTGCTCACCTTATCACCTGGGGGCTGTGCCGGGAACCCAGACTTCTGGCTCCACCATTGGCTTGAGAGTCCGAGGTCACTGCCTATCCCTGCAACTGTGTTTTCTCATCTGTAAAATGGGGCTTATGATAGGACCTTCCAAAGAGAGATGAGCTGATGTTTGCAAAGCCAGGAGGCAGTCAATGAACTCTAGAGAGGATTCTCATCATGGGACAGCCAACTCCACTTTTGGATAGTGCTGGTTGGCCTGAGGGCTCATCCTCTCCAGCTGTCCTGGAGAAATGACCCACCCTATTCTCCCAACTCCTAAGCCATCAGCTCCAAGCCAGAGGTTTGGAGGTGGGGGTTTCATGCTGGATTGTGAAGAGTCTGGAGAGGGGAGCGCCAGTTTTGCTTCTGGCATGCTGTTCTGACTTGTGAAGTTTCCTTTCCTCTCTGGGCTTCAGTCTCCCCATCTGTGCAAGATAGCTGGTGGACTAGAAAGATAGCCCTAAATCTCTTCTGGTTCTGATACTATGATTCCCCAAGACACATGGGTCCAGGGACAGGGTCCAGGTCTTTCAGGGGTGGTGGTGGCTGGATTACAGGTAGGTTGGGGGCTGGAAAGGGGGAGCAGAGGCTGGGCTGTGGGGGGAGGCAGGAACCCTTTCCATAATTCCCTTACCTGGGTTTGTGAAAGCTGCTCTGTGACGTGGATTATTCTATGTTATCCTTACAGCCCTAGGAAGTAGCTGGGGTATCCCCATTTTACAGGCGAGGAAACAGGCAGAGGTTATCTGCAGTATGTGACTGGCCAAAGGTTATAAACTAGCATGTCTGCCTGCCTGACTCCAAAGCCCAAATTCTTAACCACCATACCATACCACCCCATTCCCAAGCTCCGAGGCCCCTTAATCAGACTTCTCCAAGCAAGGGAGACTGTTGGGATGTGGTTCCCTCTATGAGTTTCATTTTTCCATGGACACAACAGGCACACCAATTGTTGTCCTGCTTGCTCTCCTAGGAGACATTAATACCACAAAATGTCTGTCCCACCCACAGTGCCTCTGGGGAGGGGTGTGGGTTACCCTGCCTCAATTTCCATTCTGGGGACGAGTTAGGGATCCCCAGAGTGTTCCTGGCCAGGGCCACACCAGGGCCATCACTGTATCCTGCCAGGATTCAGACTAAGTGCACCTGGGTGCTATGTCCACCTGCAGTGAAGCTAGGATAGAACCCCAGGAGTCACAGGTCTCCCCACACCATGGCCCATCAGTGACCTCAGGCTCCTTCCACACTTGGACCAAGTAGGACCATCCCTAGTCAGCCTTGCCAGTTAAATTCCTGCTCTCCCAGGCAGGTGCCGCTTTAGACTCCTACCATGCAAAGGAGCATAAAAGCTTGGGACCTTGGATCTTCTGGCTACTGTTTTACTTTTTTAACACACACACACACACACACACACACACACACATCATAGAAAATTTAGAAAAGGTGGTTAAGCAAAAAGAAAATAAAAATCACTCCAAATGCCACCACCCCTTATATTTTAGTGTATATCTTTCCAGATTTTTTTCTATGACTGTATATTTTTCCTATGAACAGTAGTGATTTTAATTTTCTTTTTTGTGCTTGACTGAATTTTCTGATTAAAAAAAAATTTCTGAGTTTTTGAGAAGGAGCAGGCATTACCTTTGTATTCAGAAAATTGAGATATTAGAAATAAAATGGGAGTATATTTAGTGTGATTGTAAAAGTAATATAAGTGGAAAGAGAATAGCTAAATATAGTCCAGTTAAAATTAAACCTTAGAGAAAGTGACATATGATTGTAAAAACCTCCAAAGTTACAGAAATATTGAAAGTAGAATCTCCATAATTGCACTCCTGGGAGGAACCACTGCAACACCTTCCAACCTTTTTGCTTCCATACGTTTTAAAATTTTATGTCCTTCCAAACTGTTTGCTTTTATCAGTTTTTACAAAATGAGGACCACAGGTTTGTAGCCTGCTTGCTTACTATTGTCATCAGCCTTAGATTTCTCCAGCTTAGCTTGTGGCGCTGGAGTCAGCCAACTGTCAGGATACTAGTGTGAGGTCGGGACCGGGGCTTTCTTCTCTCTGAGCCTCAGTTTCCCCCGCTTTACAGCAAGGATAATGTCACCCATCCTCAGGGCTGTGGGACGGAAATGGCACACCGTCTGATACCAAGCGGACGCTCAGAAATGAAACCCCTTTGCCCAAGGACTGAGTTCAGAGACTAGGACCCTGGGGTCCCCGCCCCCAGCCAACTCCGCTCCTGCCCCTTCCTGGGACCAGCTCCCCCCACCCCCGTCCTTTTCAGGCTGCCGCTAGAAGAGACGCGGACGCGAGGTCAGCCACTTCTGTCGCCCCCAGGGAACGGCCTCACGCTGGAGGGGGCAGTGCCCTCGGAGCAGGACAGCCAGCCCAAGCCGGCCAAGAGAGCGCGGACATCCTTCACCGCGGAGCAGCTGCAGGTACCCGGGGAGGCCGCGAGTGGCCGGCCGGCTGTGGGCGGGGAGTCGGTGTGGGCGGGGCTGCGAGGGTCTCCTGGCTGCGCCTCTCCCGGACCCCGCCCCCCCCGGTGGAGGGGCGGGGCTGTAGATGTCTGGGGCGTGGCCTCCAGGCCGGAGCCTCTGATTGGGCCAGGGCCCTGGAGACCTCCGAGTGCCGGTTCCTAACCCACCCCCGCCCCTTCCCGCGCTGGGCAGGTTATGCAGGCACAGTTCGCGCAGGACAACAACCCCGACGCACAGACGCTGCAGAAGCTGGCGGACCTGACCGGCCTCAGCCGGAGGTCATCCAAGGTGGGGCCGGGGGAGGGCGGGGCCTTCGGGTCTGGGGCGGGGCTTGGGGGCCTGGGAGTGGGCCCTGCGGCGCTTAGCAGGGCGGCCGTCCCGGGCGCACGAGGCCGCTTTCTTCTGGAAGCGACGAGGCAGTCCCGACTGGGTCCCCCGGCGGCGCGTCCGACCCTGGTCCGCGAGGTTGAGGCTGCCGAGGCTGTCGTTCCAGGTGTGGTTTCAAAACTGCCGGGCGCGTCATAAAAAACACACGCCGCAGCACCCAGTGCCGCCCTCCGGGGCGCCGCCGTCCCGCCTCCCTTCCGCCCTATCCGACGACATCCACTACTCCCCCTTCAGCAGCCCCGAGCGGGCGCGCATGGTCACCCTGCACGGCTACATCGAGAGTAAGTGATTGCGACGCCCGGGCCGCCAGGTCTGCGGGAGAGGAGCGCGCGGGGGCGGCGGAGGCGTGGGGAGGCCCAACGGAGCTGCATGGGGTGAAGATGCGGGCTTCGCAGTAACTAGGAGGTGGGAGGAGGGGTTGTTACCTGGCTCTGCCTCAGTAGACGCAGACATTCGACCATTCAAGTACCTTCCAAGCCCTGGTTCTGTACCGGGGCCGGGGGACTAGGGAAAGAGCTAGATGGGTCAAGTCCTTGTTCTGGTGGAGCTTGCGTTCTGGCGGGAGAGACGACGTGGGACAATAACCAGATAGCTGAGCGTGTGTTTTAATTGCCGCGATTCCTATAGGAAAGGTGCTGGGTGCGAGTGTGGAGATGCCGCTCTCAAACACGCTGAGATGGGAAGGATGGGTAGGATGAGTGAGACACAAGGAGTGGGAACTAGGAGTGCCCCGTGTCAGAGGAACTGAATGTAGGCAGGTCTACAGCCTGACCCAGGGAGCATGTGGCGTTGGGTGCCTCTGGGGTTGCAGAAGGCCAGTGTGGAGGGAATGCTCAGGGCTGCGAGGCCGTGGGCAAATCACCTAACCACCTTAAACCTCAGTTTCCCCATCTGTAAACTGGGACATTAATAATGCCTACCTCACAGGGTTGTGAAAATCCACTGGTGTATTCGGTAGTTATTTTTGGAGTGCCTTTTGTATCCTGAGCACTAGGATACAACATGGAACACAATAGAGAGAGGGTGTAGTGATGTGCATTTCTGGGGGATAAACATCAACGAATCTGCTATTGAGCAGGTGCTTACCACACATTTTCTTTCCCTTCAAGGGTGTTTCCATTGTTTGCTTCCTCAAAGCTGGGCACGACCGGAAAAATAAAAGTGGCTACAATATACTCACAAACTCAAACCCGCTTTTCTGGGGCTCTAGTAAGAGGAAGAGGTCAGAGACACTGCTGTTTACTGAGCCCCTGCCATGTGCCAGGTGCTATGTTTCTAAACATTAGAGATCACTATCCCATTATACAGATGAGGAAGCCAAGGGTTCACAGTAAGTTAGTGGGAACCAGTTTCTTCAATGGTTGAGTGTGGGCTTTGATGTTAGGCTGAAGATCCCACCCCTGCCACTTCCTGGCTGTGTGACACTGGGCAGGCTTCTTAGCTTCCTTGAATACCAGTTTCCTCATCTGTAAAAGTGAAGACAGTAAGGATACCTATCTCAAAGCAGTGTGGTGAGCATTCAGTGAGATCATTGACTTAGGTCTTCAGCATTTGGTAATTGCTGGATAAGTATTAGCTGCTCTGCGATGGCAGCGGTGGTTCTGGTTGGCAGAGCTGAGGGTGCAGAGTCCTGCCTACTGCACCAGGCTGCCAGTTGGAAACTGTCTCTTTGTACTGTTCCGGTTCCGAACCATCCGCTCAGTAGGAGGGACTTTTTCTCCCTTTCTGTTTTAAACAATGACTTACGTTCAGGCTGCACAGAGCCGGTAGGAGATGTAGTTCTTCTGTTAAAGGCACCAAGGACCAGGGGCTCTCTGGGTGCCAGGAATTGGCTCTACCAGCTAGCATTTGCTGTGGAGTTAGTAATGGATCTAAGTGACTCCCTTGGGAGGGGGCCATGGCCTCCAGACTCATGCCAGGACTCTGCCTTCATACTTTATAGATCAAAGATCTGTGTTTGATGCCCAGTCCACCTTGAGGTGGAACCCAGCTTGGGGCAGGAGCTGTGAAGGGTATGTGGACCTGCTGCCTCTTGCTGCATGGCTGAAGGTCACCTCGGCACTTTGCTTTGCAGTTAACTAAATTCATAGGACCTGAGTTTCCTGGAGCCTTAGAGCTTAGAATCTGATAAAAAAGAAACTTTGGAACCTGACCCCAGAAAAATGCACATACACACATAGTTTTCCAGGTCATCCCAGGCTGTTCATGGACCCCTAGAATACCCCAGGTTAAGAATTCCCAATCGAATACAACAGATGAGGGGACTTTGCCTCAGAAAGGCACAGTGATGTGTCCCAAGTTACATACCAATTGTAAATCTCTGGACAGGGCTCTTGTTTTGTTACCAAAGTAGATGAAGCACAGGGAGGAGGAAGCCATGGACTTTTCTACTGAAGTGGTAAAGAGGCTGAAACATGAGAAGTTTGGGTCAGACATTAGGATGGACTTTCCCTCACAGTTTTAGATGTTAGAATAGGGTATGGAGACTTACTCAACAAATTATTTAAAGAGTACCTACTGGATGCCATGCCTCATTCTTGGTAATGGAAATCCACAAAAATCTAGAAACTAGAAAACAGACAGAAATTCCTGTCCTCACTAGAGCTTGCATTCTAGTTGGCAGAGATAGGGAGTGTGGGTGTGTGTTGGTGTTGGGTTGCAATTATTAACAGGGCGGCCAGGGAGAGCATCATGAAGAAGGTGCCATATGAGTGCAGAGTCCTCTCAGAGGTGTGTTGGGAAAGCTTAGGTGATACCTGGGAGGGAGATAAGGCACCTCGGGAGGACCCTAATAGATGGGGTACAGCCTTGCATGTAGGAGGTGTTCAATACATATTCATTTATGAGTATTTGTTTATCAGTCAGCTGGACAATTATATAGAACTTTATAGGTTATAAAGTCTTTCACATAGAGCGTTGCAACCAACCCTATTGAAATTTCCCCCAGGGTCAATCAGCTGGTAAGTAGCAGAGGTGAAAGTGGTCCAGGTGGGATCCTGCATGGAGGCTGGGTGTGGGCTCCAAGGCATCCTCTCATCCACAGGTCAGGTACAGTGCGGGCAGGTGCACTGCCGGCTGCCTTACACCGCGCCCCCCGTCCACCTCAAAGCCGACATGGATGGGCCGCTCTCCAACCGGGGTGAGAAGGTAAATGGAGCCAGGTTGGGTCTGGTGGGTCAGAGCCATCCTGCGGGGAATGGGTTTCTGGCAGCATTCCTCATCACTGAGCAGGCACCATGCCTCTCTGCCCAGCACGCTCTGTGCCACCCAGGCCGTCGCTCCAGCAGGTGCCAGTGTGTTCAATGTGCACGGCCCTCCTTGCAGGTCTGCACTGACAGCTGGCCTCCTCTTTTCCAGATTTCTGAATTTAGTTACTTTGCTCAAACTTCGTGGTTCCAGAGAGGGCTCATATCACACACCACCCTGCCTCCCACCACCTCTCTGGTTCCTCCTCCTTTCTCCTTTTTATTACTGTCTGTTGGGAGTGAATATCCCCAGCTTGTGAGGCCCAGGGATAGCAGGTCAACAAGGTACCTTGGTCAACTGGCAAGGTCTCCTTTGTGGTACCCTGGTTTCTGGTTGTCTCCAGCATTAGGACTGAATATCCAGAGGGGAGTTTAGACAGCACTCAGTCCAGTGGCTTGAAAGTTTTGTCCTTAAGCCCTGGAAACCTGTGTTAAATCTTTTCCATGTCCCATAATGGAGATGCAAGTGGATGGAGCTGCTTGGGGTGAAACTGCAGAGGGAGTTCCCCACCCGCCAACCTCTAAGACACCTCCCACTTAGCCTGAAAGCCACTGCTCTAAGACACCTACCCCCTTTGTAGAAAGGAGAAAATTGAGGCTCAGGTAGCTCAAGATCACAGAGCTTGAATGAAAACCTGTGCATTTACTCATTCACTTACTCATTTATTCAGCTGACATTTGCTATATGCTGACTGTGCCCAGGAGCCCTGCGTCAGCTGCCAAGAGCACAGAGATGAGGAAAGCATGGTCCCTGCCCTTGAGGAGGCCACAGTCCAAAGTTATAACACTGTGATCAATCTGATGGGGGAGCCAAGGGAGCTGGGCAGTGGAGGGTGGGGGTGCAGCTCAGGAAAGACACAAGGAAGACTTCCTGGAGGAAGGCAATGTCTGAGCCCAGGCCTGAAGGCTGAATCCGAGTTCCTGGGGAAGGCATGGGAAGCTCTCTCAGGGAGCACCGACCAACTCAGTGTTGCTGGCACACAGGCTTGGGAGGAAGAACAGTGAGGGTGGGGGCCTCGGGCTGCCAGTGGAGGAATGTGGACTTTGTCTTGGGGCAGGAGTGGTCCCTGGAGGCCTGTCAGAAATATCACTGTAGTGGCCCTCAGAGAGAGAGAGGGAGTGCTGGGAGTCAGGGTGGTGGGCCAAGGAGAGAGGGCCAGGGCCTTCAGGCTGGAAGGGCCCCCAGGGACCCTGGGGTCCAGCAGAGCGTGGTTGCTGTTGCTGTGATTTTCAGAATCAGCTGGGGAGTTTGTAAAGATACAGATTTCCCAGCCTAGCCCCTGGAAAGCTGATGGTGAGGTCTGGGGCAGAGACCAGGGATCTGCTGGTGTGATAAATACCTAGCCCCTGTGATTCCGGCAGGCAGCCAGAGGTGAGGAGCACTCCTCCAGGACAGCCCCTCTTACTCTGCCTCCTGACTGAGCACCTACTGTGTGCTGGGCTCGCTGCTGGGCACCATGGGGGAAGGTAAATGGTATGGAGGTACAGACAACCTAGTTGAACAGATAGGTTTATAAGTAACCAGTAGTGTTTAAGACAAAATCCCACAGTACTTGGTGATGGGTGAGCACGTCCCAGGAAGGTCCCCTCTGGGACTGCCATACTCACAGTAGGAGCTGCTCCTCTGTTCATGACAGAAACTTACACACATTGTGTGAGGATGGCATCCGCATGGTAAAGATAAGAAAACAGAGGCTCAGAGAGGTGACGACTTGTCCAGGGATGCAACGAGTCTGTCGGACTCCGAAGTCCATCTCGATCAGTAACCATGTCCTTTCATGGAGCACTTTATAGTTTACACAGTGCTCTATCTGACCTTGGCCTTCAGAGCCCCTCTGGGAGGATAGTTACATTGACTCCGTTGACTCCGTTTCACACGTGCAGACACTGGGGCTCAGAGAGCAGTTCTGGCCCAGGGCCACAGAGAGTGTGGGTAGGGCTGGCATCCATCCTAGGACTGCCTGCCTCAGAGCTGCCCCTCCTGCAGGAGAGCATTCGTCTCATCAGACCTGGTACAGGACTGCAGAGGCCAGCTGGCACGGCCCCTGTCCTCTGGGAATGTGTGGCTTAGAGCCGGCAGCAGGTAGCTGCAGCCTAGGTGACAGGGCACTTGAGGTGAGGGACGAACATGGCCTTCAAGGACCCAGAAGAGGGAGTGAAAGTTCTAGGGGAGAAGCAGGGGATGAGGAGAAGGGCGTTCCACAGTGGGAGAAGAGAACATGCTAGGCACAGAGGCAGGCATGGGGGAGTCTGGGTTTGAGGGACTAAGGGGTGTTTAGTGTGACTGAGGCCCAGGGAAGTGGGGCAGGGTGGTGACAGGGGTCACATAATGATGGGCCGGGACCGTTGGGGGAGGGGCTTGGGCGTTATCTGGAGGGGATTAGCCTTGGGAGCATTTAGGGCTGTGCTCAGAGCTTGGAGAGGAGCCCTGGCCTTCTGGTTGCTCAGCTAAGCTTGTGGTTATGTCTGGTTCAGCTTGAAGGGTGAGCCAGCCTGGGCTCTGGCAGCTTTGGCTGTAGAAGGTTTCTGGCCCCTGGGTTTGGCTGCTGAGCCAGAGCTCTCTTGCTGGGATGCATCCCCAACTTCACATCCAGCTGCTCTGCAGAAAAATGCCCCCCCCCTCCCTTAATGATCTTTCTCCCTCTCACTGTCAAGCCTTCCTGCCAGCTCCTGGGGGCCTTCTCTGTCCACATCTTGACAAATCCCTGGGGGCGGGTGGGCTGTGTGTGGTCAGTCGGTGTAGAACTGTATGGGCTTTCTCCCAAGTCACTCCAGGCCTGAGCCAGCCTAGCTCTAAGGAGACTCAGTGCCTCCTGGGGCAGGCCCCTGAGCCCACTGATCGAGAGCATCACTGGCCTGGCCAGGAGAACGGTCCCTGAGCATTCAGGAGTAGCACCCTCTGCCCCCCACCACATCTTCATTTGGCCACAAAAACCTGTGAGTTTCCAGAACCACATTTCTTCCAAATCATGGCCCCCAGTCCCACAATTTCAGAACTTAGAAGGTGCTTAGAAATCAGGGCCGAGCTGTCACTGATAAGATGGAGAGACTGAGGTCCACAGAGGGGAGGGGTCTTACCAGAGAGTTTCCTTTGATAAGAGCCCAGAGCCAGGTGTCTCAGAGGCCAGAGGAGAGCACTGCCCGAGGCGGGGTGAGTGGGCGAGGCAATGTGGTGTGAGCTGCGTCAGGCAGACTCAGAATCCCAGCTCTGCCGCTTCTCACTCTGAGACCTGGGTACACAGTTAGCTTCTCTGAGCCTCAGTTCCTGTAGCCGCAAAATGGAGAAAATAGGTCCCACAGCCAAGCTTGTTGCTGAAAGCAAATGCAGTAATGTATGTAACGAACCTAGCACAGCCCAGCCGGTGTGGCTCAGTGGTTGAGCATCGACCTAGGAATCAAGAGGTCTTCAATTCGATTCCCAGTCAGGGCACATGGCCAGGTTTTGGGCTGGATCCTCAGTGTGGGATGTGCAGTGGCAGCTGATAGATGATATTCTCTCCTGTCAATGTTTCTAAGTCTCTATCCCTCTTGCTTCCTCTCTCTAAAAATCAGTAAAAACATTTTTAAAAAAAGAACCTAGCACAGTGCTTGATACACAGAAAGTAGTCATAGATGGTGGTTATTGCTATGCTTTCCTCCATCTCCTCCTCATGGTAACCGATCTGGGCAAGTAACCTTCCTGATCAGAAAACGAACAGCCACATGGCTGTACCCACTTGATGTCACGGGAACAATGAACTGTGGTCCGCCTGACCCTTCACTGAGAGATCACATTGACCAGACCTTCAGGGAGCTGGCTGTGTCAGCAGCGAGAGAAGTCAGCCAGGTGCTTTAGGTGGAAGAGGAGAGGGACAGGGCAGACAGTCCCTGATCACTCACTGTGTGCCAGGTACCTGGCCTGTCTCAGCCACCTGCCTCTCGGCTTTGTGAAGACTTAAGTGCGCATGAAGTGCTTGGCCCGTTGCATGGTGTGTCATAAGCATGATGACAGCTGCCGTGGTGATCGTGGAGAGGTAGAGGCGGTGTGATATATAGCGAGCGAGCTCTGGAGCCAGGCCTGGGCTGCAGTGCTGGGTCCGCCTCCTCCTAGCTGTGCAACCTATCCGTGGGCTCACTGATTTTCACCTCCCTGAGCCTCAGTGCTCTCCCCTATAAAATGGAGATAACGGTGGGACACCTTCGAGGGATTGTGATGAGGCTCCACAAATGCCGGTCAGGCACTTTCCGCAGCGCCGGGTGCTGGGTGCAGTGCCCAGCAGACCTTTGCTGCTCTTCTTGTATCTCACTGAATCCTCCCCATCCTGAGAGAGAGGTCATGTCATCCCCATCTTACAGATGAGGAAACAGGCTCAGAGAGGTGAAGTGAGTTGCCCGAGGTCCACAGCAAGTAAGTACCAGAGCCAGGATTTGAACCCAGATCTGGGCCCCGGGCCATCCGCATTCTCTGTGCCTTCAAGGACCTCTGGGGAGCTACTGGAGGGGCAGGCCCCCAGCTCAGCCACCTCCCACACCCTCCTTCCGCAGGTCATCCTTTTCCAGTACTGACGCTCCCTGCACTTGCGCATCTGTCCATGGGCACCCCACAGCTGTCCCTCAGCCGCTGAAATGCAGTGTCCGAGCGCTGCCAGGAATCCACCCACCTCTGCATCCACCCCTCATCTGCCGTCCCGCCTGCCACCAGCTGGGCCTGTGGGCCTGGCTGTCCCCTCTCCTGCTGAGAACCAGAACCCGCCAGGAGCACCGCGGAGTCCTCCTCTTGGAAGGCAGAGCTCCCTGAAATTTGGAATCAGGGTGAAAACAACAGCCCAGTTTTTCCATTTAGACAGGACTCATCTTCAACTGAAGCTGATTAAAACAGCAAAAGGCCGGATTGAATTGTGCAACGCCAACAGCCTTCTAATTTACAGGTTTTCTTTCCTCCCATGTTGGCCTTTACTCACTACTTCCTTGGAACCGTCTCTGAATTCTGAAAGCCGAAAACCCCCAGTGTTATCCACTCTGTTGCTTTTGTCTGGAAAACTCTACAGTGTCTGTGGGATGTCCCCAAAGGAAAGCATATGTTCTAATTTTATCATTTCCATCTGTCTGCTTATGTCAAGTTAAAGAGAGAAAAGAGAACACTGACCAACCCTGAGAGGCCCAGAAGGGCAGAGATGGAGGCCTGCCCAGACCAGGAGGTGGGGGATAGGCAGGGGCCGGGAGGCATAAAGGCACCCATTGGTTTGGAGCTTGAGGAGAAGGATGTGGCACATCGGGCTGGGAGAGGAGAGAGAAAACTCGGGGTATAAGTGGGAGACCCTCTTCCTACCTAGTTATCCAGCACATATGTATACAGATGACATAGCAGACGTGGTGTTTGAACTATGTGACGACATTTCCAAACGTTTGGGGGCCCTTTTTGGCCACTCATGGACTCCTAGTAGGGGTGCTTGGGTCATGTCATTTTTGGGGACACCTCTCATGGAGGGCTGGGGAACAGAGCCCAGGGAAATGGCAGTCAGAATATTAACTCTGGACCCGTATCTGAATAGCGAGAGGGTGCTCTATGCCTAGGTGAGCGTGCCAAGCCCAAGATTCCAGCTGGCCCCTCTGGGCTCCCCCACCCACTCCTGAGAACAGAGGCCAGACACAGCTGTGCTCACACCCACCCTGTCCTGCTGCAACTCTTCAACCCCAAACAAAAGGGCTTGGGCTACACAAGACCATAATTTATGTTTTCAGGGGGACACCCATTTGTCCCAAGGTTATCCTGTGATTTTACAAGTACTTGGTGTCCTGATGCATTTCCCACTAGACTCTAGTGACTAGAGGCTGCTAGCAAGCCTGGCTGAGTCCAAGTTCTCCTTCCGGCTCTGGTGAACCTGGTATGTTGCCTTTGGAAGGAGACTCTAGGACGGGGAAAGCAAGCCCCTGGCACATATGCATCGACTGTCCCTGCTTTTACCCAGGGCAGACATTGCTAGTCAATTACAGTATCCTGTGTTACTGAGTCTGGAGACGGTTTCAGAATCCAGGTGTTTGAAGTTGGCACTTACCACGAAAGCCTATACAGTATGTCATCCTTGCTCTGGGATCTGGAGAAAGGCGAGGCCTGGGTGCAGCCCGAGAAGGGGACCTGCTTCCTTTCCCTTCTGAAGATGGTTCCAGCTGGCTCAGGGCAAAGAGAAGGCACCACTGGGAATGCGGTCAGCACCGCTCAGTTCAGAACTCATCCGGTGAATAACGTGTACCTGGCCCTGTTCTGGGGGCTGACGCTAACAGGAGCGGTGTGGGCCTGATCCCTGGTCTTGGGGAACTTTGATTTTTGCTCCTGAGGCCCCAAGAGCAACCATGTAGTCGATGGCCAGTTGCACCCGACCCAGGGTCACCCAGTACCCACTCTGCCTTGGGGCTCCCCCAGGGTCTGTTCCTTGCGTGGATCACATGGTCGTAGCATGTTGCAGTTCAGACATGTCTCCACTAGCCTGTTAGAGCAGCCTGGGAATGTACAGGCCATCGAGACTATTTATTTAAATACAAAAGGGGAAAACACACACACATACATGGAAAAATATTGTAAGCACTTTTTTGTAAAACCAATGTTTGTTTTGTTACATACCTTTCATGTTGTGCTTTGTAAATGTCTTATTTGTGTAATAAATAAAGTTAATGCAAGTAGAAGTGCTGGCACTTAAATCCAGAACGCGATGGGATTCCGTTTCTTTCCTGCTCTCTTCAAGGCTCAGGCCCCTGGACCCCGTGCAGTCCCCTTCCTGGAAAATGGGTCCTGTTTCCCAGTTAGTAAACTGAGTGTCCTAAAGGCGTGACGGCGGGCTTCTCCTCTAATGAGCTTTGTAGGAGATCTGGCTGCTGCCCTCTGTCCCACTCCTGTGCTGGCTCGCTCATGGGACCCTGAGAATCCGAGCCGACTCTGCCCTGGAGGAGCTCTCCATCTGGCAAATGCTGGGAATGACGGATCCCACCAACATGGTGTGAGAGCCAAGGGATCTAATTGGTTGAGGAGTTCACAGAATAGCTGCAAAAGAGGAGGTGTTGGGGGGGCCAGGGAGGGAGGCACAGAGGAACCTGTTTGAAAGATGGGGGAGAATTTGATACATTGATGTGAAGGGAGCTAGGGCTTGAACTTGGGCACAAGTCCGGGTCTCATGCTGACCTCTTTGGGTTCCAGAGCCACCACGTAATCTGTAATCTGGGGAGTAAGAGAGTACCTTTCTGCTGGCTGCCATCACTATTATTATTATTATTATTATTAGCAGAACAGTTTATTCAAGCCAAAGCTCTGCAGGAGAGGAGAGGCGTGGCCTGTCTGGTGCAGAGGGTTCCCCAGCACCCTCCCACATGCCGGGCGCCATGGCCCTGCGCAGTTCCCTGTAAACCTCAGCTCAGGGTATACAAGGTCATCACCCCCTGCAGGCCCCCCCCCTTTATTTTATTAGTTGTTGCACCTCCCATCCCTGACCCTATCTCTGCCTCTTCCCCCTCCTCCAACCTATTTGTCAAATGTTGACTTAGATATATATCTTTGAAAATAGTTTAGTTTTGTGTGTGTGTTTGCATGAATGGATATAATTTCTTTTTTCAAAACCCAGTTTGGAACTCCCCAGTAGAGCTCCACCCTATCACTCTACTGAGGTGTTATTGCACCAGAAGAGAGAGGTCACCTCCCAAGACCCCTCTGTGATGTAGCTGAGTGGGCCCAAGCTGCCCTCTGACTCCTGACTCTGCCCCAGCACGCCACCTCTGGCTCCCTAGTTTGAGGGCCAGTTTCCTGGCTCCACCGAGTCCTCCCAGGCCTGACTCCCTCTTGGGCAGCTCCTGGTGAGCCATGGGACAAGGCACAGGAACCTGCAAGATCCAGCAGCCTCTAAGGAGGGACAGTTATACAAAGATCCAGGATGCTTGTGGCCCTAGAACATGTCCCTGCTTCCTCTTCTGGCTGTCAGCTGGCATGTGGTCTCTTGGGGGGTGATTTTGAGGAATAATTACTCTGTGCACAGCTAACAAATTGTTCTTTAAAGCAAGCACACATTGAACACCTGTTAAGTGACAGCTCCTTGGATTATCTCGTTCAATCCACACAGCTACCCTATTGTTTGTAGCATCATTATACCCATTTTACAGATGATGAAACAGGCTCAGAGAAGTGAAGTGACTGGCCCAAAATTACATGATACCTATGGTTGAGCTGGGATTTAAATATAGGTGTGTATGATGCCAAAGCTGCATTTGTTCTATAGCACCGCACTGATTCTGGGCTTGGGCATGAGGCTCAAATGGAGCAGCTGCCAGAGGGAGAGGCAGCCCTTGGGTAATCATTCCTGGGCCTACCCAAAGGTACCAGCTGAGAGTCTGGGCACAGTCATCCCATTCTATTGCCCTGTGAGACCAAGACTGGTAAGTCAGGCAACTCAGTATAGTAAAAAGATTCTGGACTTTGTCTTCAAAAGGACTTGGATTCAAATGCTGTTTGGCCTGGGGTAAGTCACTCAATCTCTCTGAACCTCAGATTCCCTCTCTTGAAAGCTGTTGTGAGGAGCAAAGATAATACACACACACACTACCTGCACACATTAGTTGCTCTTTCAATTACATGTATCTATTATTGTAAGGTGATGGTTCTCAAACTCCCATGTGCATAGGAAATACGCGGAAGTGCAAATGGCCTTTATTCCCGAGTCAAGTTCAGGTTCTTGAACTACAGTCTGCCACCAGGGCCAGCCGATGCCAGTAGAGCAGAGGGAAGCCTCTGGCCGAGGTGGCTACAGAGCTCACAGCGTGGGCCTGTGACCCACAAACTCGTCCCAGCCCTTCCGACACGTCCGGATAATCCACTCATGCTCATCGTCATCTGCAAGGGAAGAGGAAGAGCTGGTCATCGCTGGGGCTCACGGGGCCTTATCTACCCCGGGAGACCCTCAGGTGGGGTCTTGGGATGTGGGTGAATTCCATCCAGCACCCCGGGGTGGCCTTGGTGGCCAGTCTCTTTAGCCAGCTCTGTGTTGGGAAGGAACAGACCTTTCACTAACAATGGATCCTTCAGTTGCCTGTGACTGCCTGGTCTTGGGGGAACTGAACACAAAAGGGTTATAGCTGGTGGATGCTGCTGATGGAGGTAGGAGTGACACAGGCCACTCTAGGCTGGGCGGCCTAACAGGTACTCACAGGGTAGCTCCCTCCGGCATCTGCCTAGTCTGACATCCATAAACAGCACCCCCAGGATGGTCCAGGCCCTGCTGGCTGTACTGGGAGCCAGAGCCTTCGGATCTTAGTTTCCGTTCTGGACCCTTCCAAGTACCTGTGGTTCCCAGGGGGCTGACACCCTCTGTTTAATCAGATCCGTTCAGTGGGGAATGGAGAGCATCTGATGTTCGTGAAGGCCCAACAAGTGTTTATCTCCCTTAACTTAATCCCTGTGACCAAATGACCGCAATGATCCCACTGTTCTGCAGATGGACAAACAGGCTCAGAAAAGTCGAGCCACTTGTCCACAGCCAGCGTTAGTGTGTGGAAAGCCCGAATTTCCACCTCGGGCTGTTTGACTACAAGGCCTGACCTGTTTTCTAAACCTGAGAGAGCGCTGAGCAGAACACATTCTTCAGCCCACAGTCCACCACCATCATCTCTCTATTCCAGGCCCCTCTGCAGACTGACTTGATTTTTATTTTTCTCCTTATCCCCCGCCCCCAACCAGACCTAGCCCCTCCCCAACCACGACAGAGACTCGAATGGTGGGATATGACCCTTAAACATGCATGCAGCTCTGTAAAATATGTACGGTGGTTTTGTGTGCGTATGTGGTTTTAATTTACACAAGTGGCATTGTGCTGTGAATTTCATTGTCTTAGTTTTTTCACTCAGTGGTACATTTTCAAGATCTATTCTTGTAGCTACACATACATCTAGTTCGTTGCTTCTTGTGTTTATGCTGCTGAGTCGGCTCTGACTCCTGGCGACCCTGTGAATGAGTGAGGGTCACAGTGTCGTCCTCAGTAGCCCTGCTCAGCTCCTGTAGACTCACGCCCGTGGCTTATTTCATGGAGCCAATCCATCTCGTATTTGGTCTTCCTCTTTTCCTGCTGCCTTCTGTTTTTCTCAGGATTATTGTCTTTTCCAAAGAACCCTGCCTTCTCATGATGTGCCTGATGTAGGACAGCTTCAGGTTGGTCATTTTTGCCTCCAGTGATGTTTTAGGCTTAATTTGCCCTAGGACCCACTGCTCACCAGCGCTCCCCTACAATACTATATTTCAAATGAATCCTTTTTTTTTCCCTGTCAGTCTTCTTCACTGTCCATCTTTTGCTTCTGTACATAGTAATTGGGAATGTGAGGGGGTGGATGGTCCTAGCCTTTGTCTCTAATGACACATCTTTGCTCTTGGTGATCTTTCTTAATTCTTCTATTGCATGGCTTTTTTTTTTTAAACTTGGGCCTAATATTCCACAGTGGGCTTCCATCACATTTTACTATCCATCCTCCCAGTGTTGGACATGCAAGTTGCCCCCAGCTTCCGTTACCAGGAATAATGTTGGGATAAACGTTCTTGGGCACATCCCTTCATGGACATGTGGGAGAACTTCCCTGGGTTACACTCCATGAGAAGTGTCATCGAATCGTACACATGCTTCATTCACCAGACTCCCAACTAAGGCCTGGTAGCACCACGCTGTCTGCCTGCTGTCCCTCCCTCATTCCTGGTTCCCCCTGTGCCTGGCACTGGGGACAAGGAGAACTACCCAAACCCCTGCCCTCAGGCAGTTCTCAGAGCTACAGCTCTTGCCTAAGAGAAGGGAGGATAGGATGACCCATCCTCCTTGAGTGACAAATGGCGGTAGCTGGAGAACCAGGGGACTCCCTGAGAGTTAAAACAAAAATCCTGCCCTCCGAATCAGATCCCCCTGCCCACCGTCCTCTGCTGTGGAAGCACCATGTCCAAGATCAGGGAGAAGGAGGCATACTGACAGCCTTCTGTGTGCTTTGTGCTTTACAAACACCAGATCTCATTGATTCTGTGATCGCCCAATAGGGCAGGGGAGATGCCCCCCCCATTTTGTAGAGGGGATGAGCCTTGTCCTAGGTCTGTATCCACTGGAATTCAAACCAAGGCTCATCAGACCCCAAAGCCTGACTTCCCACTCCAAGGCAGAAGTGATGGTGCTGGAGGGTGAGTCTGCCCCCATCCCCACCCCCACCCCCACTATTTCTTCATAAGTGGGCTAAGGAAAAAGGCTGGCTGTCCGGCATGCTTGGAAGACTGCCCTAAGCAACTAGTGGGCCTCAGTTTCCCCTGGGGAGGCTGCCTGGGAATCTGAGTGTGGCTGCCAACCTCGGGGTGGGGGTGGGGGGAGAGTGGCGGCACACAAGGAGTTAAGCGCTGGTGAAGCCCACTTTTGCCACCACACGAGCAGCCTGGTTGGTAATTATAGTTCTGAAGTCTCCAGGCTATTCGAATCAGTGCAGCTGCAACCTCTTCAGTGGTAACCCCTGAAACCAGACAAACCGGGAGTATTGTGCGGAACCGGTCCTCGGCCCCTCCCTGATCGTTACAAATTGACAGCAATGGACTTAACAGCCCTCTTCACTACCCCTTTCACTCTCTACCTGGCTGCACAGCCACCAATTTGAATCGCAGATGCCTCCCCTCCCGGCAGCTGCTCACCAACCCTCCCTCCACCTCCCTGGCCCGCAGAGGCTCCAGGCCCTGCCACGCCAGGGTGAGGCATCCCAAGCACATTTCATCAATATTTAAAATGGAATTAAACCTGCCGCTTTGATTAACGCCTCCCAGATCCCGGGAGTTGTGATTACTATTTTGCAAATTGCAATTGTTGGAATATGTTAATATGATTGTCTGAGAACATCTTCACCTTCTCAGATAATTTCTCCCCTTTTGGGCAGGAGGGGGGAGAAGAGGGGGAAAATGATGGGGGAAAACACCCCACAAACTCTTTAATCAATTGTAAATTATTACCCTTGGTACAACTGCTGGTGGTTCAGAGGGAGGAGGAGGGAGATTTCTGGTTCGGTGCATTTATTTTGAAAAGTTTTGCCCCCCCCCCCCCCCGGTTGGCCCAGTAATTCCACTATGGGACGCTATCCTGAGGGAATAATCTATTTAGAATCAAGAAAACTGAAATAAGCTACGTTTCTAAAAACAGCTGAGTGATTACTTTGTCATATATTCATTCATTTAACAAATTATTTCCAAACACTAACTATGTGCTAGGCATTGAGTTAAATTGGGGAGCGGGGTGGAGGAGGGGGACACTGAGTCACGTGAGGGGATATTTAGCAGCAATTGAAAATATATGGCTATGAAGTCTGTATTGCAACATAGGAGAAATTTTTTTTATATGATAAGTGAAAAAGAAAGGTGGGAAGAGGCAAGACACAAAATTACATAGTATAATCTGTGTACTAGTAAAAACTGAGCACAGGAGAAAAATTAAAAATAATAAACTGAATGTGAATAATAGTCAGCTCTGAGCAGTAGGACTAGAAAGGTTCTTCTATTTTTGGTATTTCCAAGTCTCTCATTAAAGTGTTTCGACAGCCAAAACCGGTTTGGCTCAGTGGATAGAGCGTCGGCCTGCGGACTGAAGGGTCCCAGGTTCGATTCCGGTCAAGGGCATGTACCTGGGTTGCAAGCACATTCCCAGTGGGAGATGTGCAGGAGGCAGCTGATCGATGTTTCTCTCCCATCGATGTTTCTAACTATCTATCTCTCTCCCTTCCTCTCTGTAAAAAATCAATAAAATATATTTAAAAAAAAAAAAAAGAAAAAACTTAAAAAAAAAAAAAATAAAGTGTTTCGACAGTAGGAAAAAACAAAAATAATTATTGGCTTTTTTCCTACCCTCCAATTTAATGCCTTGGTAATTTCATGCATTTTTAGTAATTGAAATAAAATATTTGTAGGTTCCTCAAAATGCCAATAGGGTGCTTGAACCTCTAAACAGTAAAAAGACCCAGCATAAAGATGTTGATAACAAGGCATAAAATCGGAGACTAGGCAAATCTCCTGTAGAAGAAGTCCAAGTAACTTATGGGAATATGCTACCTTCAAGGAGATGGAACATAACCCCACTTCTTAAGTGTGGGCTGCATAGCGACTTCCTCCCAAAGAGGACAATCTAGAAAGGGAGTAAAAAAAATGACAGTGGAGAAACCTGACAAGCACACCTCAGCCAGGTGGTCAAGGTCAACACCAACAGTGATCAGCCCTATGGACAGTGTGTAGCCTTGATATGATGTGATGCAAATGGCACATTATCTCTCTTGTCCAAAGGCTTGACTCAGGCATTCTTCACGTTTGGATCTGACTGCTTTGGGGGCAGAAATATTTCTCTATCTCCTTCTGCAGCTTTAGAAGGGACCTTGCTGCCACCTGCATATACCCACCTCCTACCTCCCACCCAATGGGCCTCACCAGTCATTAGGAGAATTGGGCTTCTTATAGAAAAGAAAAGGAGCCTGCTGCCAGAGACCCCAGATCTGACCACAGGCTCCCCTCTGAGAAGCCTTCCCTGAAAAGGCTCTCTGCTCCTTCGCCTGGACTTCAAGGCCCTCCAGATCTTCCTGCTTCCGAGCCTGCCACCCTCCCCCACTCGCCTCTCACTGTGAAATGCAGCCACCCTAAGGTCCTGCAGTCCCCCTGGGTACATGCTCACCAGCGCCTCTGGGCCTTTGTACATGCTGTTCCTCACTGGGGAACACCCTTCCTTTCAGGACCTGGTTCAGGTGCAAGGCCTCCCTTTTCTGGGCCTTAGTGTGTATGTAAGTAAAGAAAGACCTAAGCGAGAATATAACAATTGTGGTATGTTTTACACTTGTACAAATTAATGCTTTTAA